GTGAGTGTGTGAACTTTTTTTGTTTACTTAGTTTGAAGTAGGCTTCCCACTGCCTTAACAATGGATTGTCCATGGATACAGAAATGGAAGTTTTGTTAGAGTAAATGAGGGTCTTTTCTGGTGACTGAAGGTAATGTTGGCCTTTAAGCTGGTGTTTGCCTCCTGTTTATTCTTGAGTAGCAGAGAGATCTCTGAGAGAGTACACAGGGGCATGTTCCACCTCCAGTAGAGCTATCAACTATTTGCCTGAAAATAACAATAAAGAAAAAAACAACCCCACCAAGACTTTAAAATAAATATAGTACACTTTTATATGACATGTGTTATTTCTATTCATAAACCTTAACTAAATTTAGATTTTTATTAATCCAATGTGACCTAAAAAAATTCTGCATTAACAGCACAATGTGGAATTGGGCTTATTCTGTTTGAATGCAGATAAAGCCATCATCTTGAAAATAGCTCTTTCTGACCAAAAGGTGTTCTTTTGAAATAAAGTCTTATTCACTACATTCCTTTTAGAGTTAATGTGAATTTTAGTGCCTCTAATTTTAGATTGAAGTGAGGTCTAGAATAAAACCTACCGGCTGACAATTGAATTTATAGATAGTTGTGAATATTTCAGGCTTGAATAATAGAGCTGTAGAATTTCAGAGACAGAGAGGAAGAGAGAATTAAGCTCCAACTGTAGTTTTAGAATATAATGCAATAGTGTCTAGGAAGTCTTCAGTGTAACGAGCTAAGTTGTAATTAGGAGGGAACTAGTCTCTTACTGAAATCTGGTTTAGGCATTATTCCAAATGATCAATATGATGGTGGCCCAACTTGTTTTAGGTGTAGATGGCTCTTCAGCCTCTTCTGTTCAGAAGTGACACAAAAAGCAAAGACTCAAGTCAGCAGAAAACATGTGCCTGTTTCCCACACACTTGTCAACAGCCCAAGCATGCACATAGCTTCTGCTGCTGCTGCAAGGAGTGCAGCAAGTTTCATCCACTGAGAGCAAAAGCTATTTTCTCAGCTCCTTGGAGTGGTTAATGTTTGAACTAAATTTCTGCCCACCTAATGTGCACCGATCCAGTTTACACCATTTAAACAGCAGCCAAAAGCAGATACACCTGGGTTAGCACTAGAAACTGCGACTTCAAAAGCATCAGCAGACTGGCTCTTACCTAAACAGATCTTGATCTTATAAAACAATCAGATTAAATTTTGGTTCTGACAGCTTCAAGTGGGAGAGACCTGCTTTTGTACTGGATAAGATAACATGCATCTGGACAACTAATTAGTTGTTGACTTAGTCTGAAGTAAGCAAATGATTGCTTTGGGAATGGAAGGGTGACGTTAGTACATGTACCTTCATAAATTATTCCATTACCTAGAGAAAATTTACCTGTAGGATTCAGAAAGAGAAGAATGTACCACAAGCCCAGCGATGATAGACTCGAGATCATGAAGTAACACATCTGTGGTTGTAATGGTGAGACTTGACATAAGGAATCTCAACAAAAAGCTGGTGACAGAAAGACCAGGTGCTTGTATTCAATACAAAGGCCTCAGGACCAGCACGGAGAAATAAAAAACCCGCCAGTTGGTAGATTGCGAAAGAGATAATTGATATTTTTAATCATAGCAATATAAAATTCAGTGTCACAAAAAAGAGGAAGAGAGAGAGAGAGAGACAGAGAGACACCATGTTTTAGTACCCTAATAACTTCTAACTCTAGTCTAAGATCATAATGTATGTGAGAGCAGTCCAGTAATTATAAGGTAATAAGTGGAGTGGTGGTGTAAGTGCTCTAAATTAAAAGGAATTCGCAGAGCTGCTGTAAGTCAGTGCCGACCCGCTTTCTTTCAAACGTTGACTTGAGAAAAGTGCTTAGCCCAGAGTGCAAGTAGAGAGACAAGAGAGAGCTATCTATTAATTATGGCACTCATTAACAGTGACGGGTACAAGGCAGCAGGTGCAAAAAGAAAGGCATGCACTAGTGCAGGCTGGCAAGGGGATTTCTTCCCCCCACTAGTTCTTGAGGAAAGGACAGCACAAGCAGATGGTCCAGTGCCATAAGATATTTTCACGGTTTTAACCTTCCCATTTCCTTAGCTTCTCTGCTGACACAAAATAGTCGCTCCTCCTGTTTGCCCAACCCCAAATAAATACTGATTTTAAGTTTAGAGGGGAAAAAAACCTGCCAAACCTCAGCCAGGTTGTTTTTCATGTTCACGTGGAATTTGTCTTTTAAAGTAAAATTAACCACTGTGAAGAGATGCTAACCAATGCCCTAGGGCCACCTACACCCAAAGTTGTGTTGACATCTTGCTCTAGATGGATTTTTCTAGCAAGGGGCCATGTTCTATTTATTTATTTTATTTAGTTCTATTCATTTATTATGATTTTTACCTCCTTGGAGAGGGGCTGGGCAATGGGGGCCAGGCAGTGACATTCACCTGCTTAATTTCCTCACACCTTGGAGCACCTTTCAAAAGATCTCATAGTGTCCTAGGAGAGAGAATCACTGTAATTTGAGTGAGCTTATGTAGTGGTTGTATTTCTGCTTAGAAAAAGTCACTGGAGAGTTGCTCAGGACTGTCATCTGTACATTAGCAGCTTCTCAGAAGAGTGTCAAAGGCTTTGCTCAGCAAGCCATTTACTACTGTGGCTTTATAATTACAGCTGCACACAGGAAAGGTAATATCTGATCAGAAACTTCCCAGTTATTATTCTTTTCCAGATAATAAAACAAAAAGGGCAGTTTAGTTTTGGGTGCAGAAAAGAAATAGATTTTTTTTTTGTGGGTGTGTGGGGCAGGGAGTACGGAGTAAAAGTCTTGTTACTCTGCTTTCAACTCTGAAAAGGCAAGAATTAAGAAATAGGGCAGTTAAGAATCTCACCTTTTGAAAGACAAAACTTTTATCCATTTCCTCCATTTTTTTTTACCCAGAATGTAACATGTAAAATGTCAACTCCTATAGAGTTCTAGATATATGGGGTACTGGCATAGTTATTACTGGTTAGTCTGAGGATAATGGCTAAAAAGTAATTGCAGCCAGAGCTGATGAATCATTCTACTTAGATTTTGTGAAACTGGAGTCCAGCCTTAATTATTTGTTAGAATCTCAAGATGATGTGTTACTCCATTACTAAATAGCTATATATAATGCAGCAATTTTAATAAAAAAAAAAGTGAGTGGGAGACTTATTCCTGAATTCCAGGGTCAGATCAATAGACAGTGCAGTCATGCTTTACTGAAATATGATGACAAACATTTGTTACCAAGCAAAACATTTATCTGTTCAAACTTAGAAGTGTTTGATTTCAGTGAAGGTAGAATTTATGCAAGGAGTTTTGCAGGGGGAGAAAATGAAATGCATTCTAGCAATCAAATGGGGTTTTGAATTCTTTGACTCACCAGTTGACAAATTCCGAATTTAGAGAGTTGCTTTGAAATTGACACACAGCCTAGAAGTTGGAAAAATTGGGGGGGGGAGGTGGAGTGGATGATTTGGTCTCTTTAAAGTTTTTGTTTACTGCCTGTCTGAAGATTTGATAAAGCTCTGTCATGCCCTTATGCTGATTACCTTCATGTAGAACAAGAGGTATTGACTAACGAATGAATGATGTGCGGTCCCTAGCCCTTGCAGAGCAGTCTTAAAGAGCACGGTCTTTAATACACAGATTCTTTTCTCCTCTCTTCCACAATGCAGGCTTCTCTGCAGAATGTCAAGCAAAGATCGACACATTGATTCTAGCTGTTCGTCATATATCAAGACGGAACCATCAAGCCCCGCCTCTTTGACGGACAGCATCAACCACCACAGCCCTGGTGGCTCTTCAGACGCCAGTGGGAGCTATAGTTCAACCATGAATGGACATCAGAATGGGCTGGACTCGCCACCCCTCTACCCTTCCGCCACGGGGCTTGGAGGCAACGTGCCAGTCAGGAAACGATATGATGACTGCTCCAGTACCATTGCTGAAGATTCACAGACCAAGTGTGAATATATGCTGAACTCGATGCCCAAAAGACTGTGTTTGGTGTGTGGTGATATTGCATCAGGGTACCACTATGGGGTGGCTTCCTGTGAGGCCTGCAAGGCTTTCTTCAAGAGGACAATTCAAGGTTAGTGCTTGTTCACACTTCTCTCTGGCTGTGTTAAATGGTGTAATCCCAGTGATTCCTCTTCCTCCTTTCTCCCATGAACTGTTTATATTTCCAGTATCTGGCACAACTGACTTGACTCATGTAAAACTCCTTTTGCCTTCATGTGGGAGGTCTGTCTGAGCTAAAGGACTGTCAGGTCCAGCCCACAAGCATTTCTATTTTGAATGTCAAAGGTAGGCAAAACTGTGTGGCACCCTACGCATCTTCAGGTTTCTGGGCTTTTTTTTTCCTCAGTGGGAGATCTCAGGGACATGGATAAATAATTGCTGTTAAGAAAACTGGTTGTTTTCTGAAGGTTGCCATGGCTACCTCTTGAGTGGGCCATCTTGCTGCACACTTTGCTCCTAGTTGTAAAATGGCACTTCACTGGTTGGCGAAATCCAGTTTATTTTTGTTAAAGCTCTAATCCATTTAGAAATGAAACAAAATGTAATGCTGTAGTGTTTTGTGTGCATCAGTGGATTAGTCCCTGGCCTTTCACCTCTAAGACCCTACTGCAGTCTTAACCAGATTCACCAAATATCTTTCAGATAACATTCTACGTGAAATAAATTAGTGAGCTTCAGTCTTGGTCCTATAATCCGCATTACAAACCTGCTTCTAATGCTTGTCAAAAGCCACCATGTATTTCAGCATTAAACGATACAAATGTGATAATTTGCACGTCCACTGGTTTTACCCAGGAAGCCAATGTAAAGAAAATAACTGTTTACTTTCATTTAGATCTCATCTTCTCAAGTCAAATTGAAGATGTTTTGTTTGAAGAATGTGAGACCAATCCCAGCCTCTTCTGGAATATAGTGTCACATTAAATTAAGGTCTAGCACCCAGACCCAAATTTAACTCTTCAGCAAGAGTGGCTTGATATTTCAAAGTTTCCGAACACCTGGAAAAGCTCATTGAACACAATGAGGAAGTCAGTGTCTTTGAAAAGTAAGACACGTGTGCCAGAGAGCTTAAATTTGGGTGTATTTTCTTAGCTTCTGGCACCCCTATTTGAAAATTTTGACCTAAGTTTCTTGACTGTATAACTACGTATTTAACATAAATTTGGTGGAGCATTGTTTTGATTTAGCCATTCCTAGCTGTGTTCTTGAGCCCTTCTATAAAACTGTTAAAAGTCCCTGCACCCATTTTTTTTAGTTTCCCCTCTCACTTCTCTTCTCCCCCAAAGTCCTTGCATTGCTGCTGAGGAAAGCAGGATGCTGCTGCTGATTCTGCAGCCTGCTGGTGGCCAGGCATTTAGGTTTGTCCTTTTTTTACAGAAATTTGAGATGTTCCCTTTCCTCAGTAGGCCGAGTAGTGGCTTCCACTAGGCTTCCCACTCTTTCCCACCTGGAAGCTTTTACTTAGATCTATACAATGGGCTTAGTCATATACTTCTTACTCAGGCAAAACTGCTATTAAAATCAATTAAACACGTTTTCAGTAGAATGAGGAATACAATATTGGATTTGTAACGGCAGACAGCTCTACTGTTGTATAGGTGGATACCAAATGATTATTAAGATTGTTTCTGGTGTTACATTGTTGTCAAAGGGACTTAAGCATGTGATTAAAGTTAATCAAGTTAAAGCTTTTCTGAATTGGGGCCCATGTTAATATAAAACAGCCATTGTATATTAATAAGGTTGCAACTGTTTGTTACAATTTTCAAAAGAGGAACATTAGATTATAATTGTTGTTATGAAGTTTGAAGCCACTTTGTTTGCAGAGTTAGTGTACACTTATTTAGATTCATTTGTACATTACGTAGTCAGTTTGAGTGCAGTTACAGTAATTACACATGCATACAGACCTCAGGCCGTGGCTTCATAAAAGTCAGACCTTTTGAGTTAGATAATTTCCTTTGACCTTCAAGAACATTATCAGGAAGGTTCAACAGTTTATACAGTAGAGTAATAGATATTTAGAAGCTACTAAACTTCAGGGAACATGGTTTTCATAAAGAACCTTTAATTACTGTGCAACAAGTATCTTACAAACCAAATAGATACACCATTATTTTAGTTCTGTCTTCATTGTGAAATAAAGAAGCTAACCCTTTAACTAAATAAAACCTTGACTTCTGGCATTGATGAATAGCGTACAATTTTACCCCATACCATAGACAGCAAGTTTCTGGGCCTTGAAGTACAAGACAGAAACATCATTCTCCAGATTAGCAACTTGGACTTGGCCATACAACTTGAGCTGGCAGCTGAGCAGAAGCTTTCAGTAGGGATACAGTACTAAGTGCATCAGCAGGTGTCACTGCACAGTGACAAAGAAAAATATGCAATGTGGCAAATAAAAGCATTGAATGGAAAAGCAAAAATAAAAGAAATCAAGGAAGGGATAGAAAGATGCCACCTTCATTTAACATACAGGGTTGTCTTCATTAATGTTATTGACTAAGGCTAAGCACAGACACTCAAAAAGACTGAGGCTGAATCAATTTAGTCTTTGCAAGTTAGTCTAAGTTGCAAAGATTAAACTGAAAAACAATGACACACATTTACCTTTTATTCAGGAAATGCAGCCACATACCTGCAGTGGCTCAGGCCAGAAGCTGTGGGGTGCTAGAGCACAGATCTCTGGCACTTCCTCTTCCTGCTGCTCCCAAGGTCTCTCGAATTTGCAGTCCAGCGTCTCAGAAGCAGGACTGTGCAGGGTTGCTTCCTCTCCCTTTTCCGGGTACCTCTAGGATGTGTACTCCACAGTTGCAGCCAGCAGTAACTTTCAGCAAGTTTAGGATCAGGGCAAACTGTACTCAGGGGAAGTGGGGTTTATCTCTCCTCCTTGGCTCCAGACCCCAGCCAGGGTTTGCCAGGGGGTGGGGCGGGGCAGGGCAGGGGGGTGGGGCAGTCCCTGCCTCTCTCTCTCCTCCCCACCCCCAACCCTTCTCTGCTGGAGCAGACAGCCCAGCCCAGCCCAGCCCAGGGCTGGAAAGCATACTGAGATGCTGGGGGACTCTGATTTAACTTAAGCCAGGAAGGGGTCTGGGACAGAAGTTTCATGAAGTGTTTTGACCTAAATCAGTTAAGTCTGATACTATATTCAGCCAGGTTTATCTTAAACCAGTTTCAGCCATTTTGAAAGTGGTTCATGTGTACCGAGTTTCTGTTCTGTTACAGGTTTAAACCAGTTTCTGATCACTTAAACCAGTTTGTGTGTAACTTCTCTCCCTAGCCCAGAGGTCCAAGCTGAAAGTGTTGAGTGCTTTCAAAATGTACTAAGATAATGAAAATTGAGCATCTGGGTGGATCAAACTATAGGACATAAGTGACCTAAAGTAACTAAGGCAAAGATGCCCTTTACAGTTTAGGGGAGGAGTAAGCTGAGATGGCTTTGCATTTGAACATGTATGGATATCTCTTCTTGATTTTTTGGTAGTCATTTTCTACAAAGGGCAGAATTTAGCCAAAATATTCTTGAAGTTACTTTTTCACTATATAGTCTCTGAGTTCATGTTTCATATTGCAGTTTATACATCGGTATAAACAGTTTTAGTTCATAATTAAATAAGAATAAATAAGAAGATATGCAGATACAAAGAGGGACATAAATAAGGAACAAAAAACTTGTAAGAATTTGTAAGAATTGCTTATCTGAAATAAAAGAATTATTTCTTTCAAATGATAATATTTCACTTCTGTTAGGGAATTAAACAGATTTCTGTGTAAAAGGCTGCATGTTACTTATCAGACTTCCCTAAGTTACTATTCATAGACTACTAAGTGAGCTCACATTATAGCTCACAGCATTTCTCAATTGAAGTTATTGGCAAGACTCCCATTGACTTCAGCAGGTGCAAGGTTGGGCTGATGCACTCAGGTCATGAAGTCAGTTTTGTGCTCACTAAGAGACTGATACACTTTTCATTGAAGTCAAGGGAGTTCTTTCCGTTTTCTTCAGAAGAGCATATTGAGACCGAAAGTGAGACATTCACACTTGTGAAGATAGCCAGCACCACAGAACTTTTACTTCAACCCTCAAAAGAGACTGTTGTGTTGCCTAGGGCTTACTCTGGCCTGGCTCTTCGTACAGAGTAAGTTTTACCCTCATTCAAAAGGTCAAAGGAACATATATTGTGTTTACAAAAGTTTACTAGTATTTAGTAACTAGTAAGTGATAATTCCACATTTTCAGATGGAAAGGTTTTGTTTAAAAAAAGGCAAAACTCTTCAGGCTGAAACAGTGCATAATCTTCAGCTAATTTTGTTCTAACGTGAGGAAATGTTGTTAAGAGTTTTGAGTTATGAGAGGATGAAAGCAATATACAGCTTCCTTTGCTAAATATTTTATTCATTTTTCATGCAGATAGCTCACAAACCTCTGACTTTTGAAAAATACATGTAAATAGTTTGGAATAAAGACGGCATCAGCATTGATTGGAAATAATGGTAATAAATAATTATTTAATTGAAAAAAATCACAGCTTAGTATACACCATGAGGATCCCTTCAGGTCTGAGTAGAATCTAATGAAGTCTGCCCACCTGTTTTTTTGACATCACCTAAGAGATGGAAGAACTGGATGTTCCCTCTGCTCAGCCTAATGCTCACAGAGCTGCTACTCTTAGGTTGCTTCTTGTATAATTTACGTGACGGCTGATTGCAAACGTCTCACAGAAATACACACACAGCCAAATCCTTCCCAAAATTGGCTTACCATCAGGGACAGTAGAAAATAGCAATTGCTAAAAATAGTCATGGTCCACTGATTTTTAGGGTCTCTCCACAGTTTTTGCTGTGCTCCACAGTATCTAGAAAACTCAAAGATTTCATTAAAATATAGAAATACAGAGCAAGATTTTTAGATTCAGCTCTGTACAAAGGTCTTGGCCTGAGCCTCTGTGTTTCATGTCCTATATATTTTGTAACAATAGCTCAATGTAAATTTGTATCTCATAGGTTTTATTTACACTGTCATGTCAAAATCTAATTAATACATGCTTTTCATTTAAAAACATGTAG